CATTTGTTTGTTTGTTTTTGTTAGACATTGTAACCAGCTCACCCCATCTTTGCTTTGTTTCATCTCCTACATCACTTTTATTTTCCTTCAGTCCTACTTTCCTAGGACTATCCTGCCTCACCCCCGTAAAACAAAATAAAACACCAACATGTATGTTTTGCCTCAGTCTCTGGGATAGGTTAAGACAACTGTACAAGGAGTGATTCTAGCATTCAGACTCTCAAATAGTATTTTGAAATTGAATTGACCACTGGTCTAAAGGCATTAGGATCCCTAGCATGCAATAATATCACTGTTATTAAAGTTGTTTTGTGTGTTAATGGATATGTCTATGGCCTTGATGGTAGTGATGGTTTCATGGGTGTATGCTTGTCTCCAAACTCAATGAATTAGCACACAATAAATATACATGTCAAATACCTCAGTAAAATGGCTTTAAGAAGCTTTCTCTTATAGTTAATTGGGAAAAGGCTTAGGTCCCCTACTTGCCAAGTTAAAGCATATTGTTAAAGCCACAGGCAGGTTTAAGGATTTTTATCTCCTATGGCTGACTATGCTAGAAATCAGGCCTAGGATCTCATTACAAAGTAGAGCTCAAAGAAGACTAAATGCACAGCCATTCTGGTGTCAACACTGAATGCCTGATAGGGAAAAAGTAGGACTCTTGACATTTGAATAGACAAGTCTAAGAACAAAAAGCTCTGAAGTTCCTCCAAATGCTCCTGGGTGGTAGAAGAAGCCCCTTCTCCCTTTGTTAGAGGAGAGCAGCCTCCATTTACCTGATGTCTCAGTTTGTTCAGGCTGTGAGAACAAAATGCTATAGACTAGATGGCTTATAAAAACTAGAAATTCATTTTTCATAGGTCTGGGGAGGCTGGAAAATCCAAGGTCAGGGTGACAGCATGGTTGGGAGTCTGTTGAGGGCCCTCTTTCTGGTTCAAAAGGGTGGCATCTAGTTGTGTCCTCACATGGTGGAAGAGGGAAGACAGTCTTTGGGACCTCTATTATAAGGGCATTAATCCCACTTATCAAGGCTCTAACCTCATGACCTAGTAACTTCCCAAGGGCCCCACTTCCTAATACCATCACATTGGTGATTAGATTTCAACATAGGAATATGGAGGGGAGACAAATATTCAGACCATAGCACCTGAACAGCACTCAATAGCCTCAGCTCAGAAGATGCCACATGAGATGATGCTTGCTCTTCTCAAAATGTGCCACCAACACCATTCAATGCTTGTAGCCCAATATCAGGAAAGAGTCTCAACACAGACTTAGTGGGGAATCACAATCTCTATTTGAGACAGGAAAATCCTATAGAAATTCTATAATACAAAGAAATTATAGGATTTGTTATTATATCCCAACAGGAATTGGGAGAATATATATGAGAGTGGATTTTTGTGTGTTATCCTGGGGATGTGCAATGAAAGCTGAATATGGAAAAAACCCATCGACATGTGGGCCTTCAACAGTGACTCAGCATTCAATGTTGTGGCAGGTTCACTTGAGGATTGGTTCTGGTGTTTTGCTGGAATGATTTATTGAAGCTTGGTCATGATGATGACCTACGATGAATAAAGTAGAGAGGCAAGAACTTCCCAGAGAAGTCTCAGGGAAGTGGGAATGTTAGGCTGGTTTTTTAGGTAAGACTCACCACTTGATTATGGTCCCTGGGAGGATTTCAGAAAAGTAACAGGGAGGATTCTCCCTTCAGGAAGGCAATAAGGAATGCCGGGAGAGGAAAACACCAAAACCTTTGAGATGCTTATTGGTTGTTGTGTGCTCTTTGCAGGCTGTGACTGACAGTCAGATCAACCATGGACCTAAGATCCTTGTTATCTGTAGGGATGTTGGGATTTCATTATGCCAGGGGTCAGGTTATTGTACTTAAACATCAGAGACAAAGTGAACTTTATTACAGAATTGGAAGTAAGACAGCACATTGTGACAATCCGGGTTCCTTTGCTTGCAGGATTCTGTGGCAATCGTCAATAGGTCATGGTTCGCCTGAATGGATAGAGGAACAGATAATGTATTGCTCAATTTGTATATAAGAAGTAAAAATAAAGACAGTGGCAATGAGAACTTAGTTGCTACAATGGAAAATTGATGCTACTCATTCAGTTTACAAATCCAAGTCAAGTCCTAGATCTAGATCTCATTGTTTGAAGGGGAGGTCAAATCTTTTTGAGAAACATACCATAGCACCATCACAGGGATATCTAGTAAATTCTCCTCTGAACTAGACAGTGAAAGGGGAGGATTAAAATTTTTCAAAAATATTAGATTTGTGATCTTATATGATTTGCCGTCATAGACACTCAGGTGGAATGGGTCTTATGGAAGGCAGGTGATAACTGGATTTCCAGTCCAAGACTGTCTCATAACTGGTCCTATGGGTCCACTGATCCGATCTGTGGTTATTTCCCATTCCTGTAAGGTATAATTGGGATAGATGGGCTTAACTGCTGACAGAATTCTATCAAGCGTTCTCTGCTCTGTGGAGTAAGGACCATCATGATAGGAAAGGACAAATGGGAGTTCCTGTACCTGCCGCCACCCCTTGGACAACACAATGTTTCCAGAAGCAATACTGCATCCCAGAGGGGATTGCAGATATTAGCATTTTTGTTAAATACTTGAAGCATTGAGGAATAGGAGTCTCTGTTCTATCCCTGCTCAATTTACCTGTCTGGACTTTGTAATAACCTGATAAACCATGACAAATAATGTTAAAATATAATCATCATTAACTTGGAAACCCCAATCATAGTGTCTGGGTTATGACTTTTTACTGCAGTAGATCAATATAGCCTCTGGTACTTGGTATGCAACTATTGATTTGGTGAATGTTTCCTGTTAGATCCCCTTCGGTCTGTACCCCTCACTCTCTTGCACAGGGTTATACAACTCAACTGCTTTCTGTGCTGATACAGGGACCTGCATAATTTTGACATTCTTTAGATTATCACCCTGCTCATCTATGTTGATGACATCATGCTAATTGGAACTAGCTAGTAAGAGGTGGCAAACAACCTAGATACTTTCATAGAACACATGTGTGACAAAGGAGAGAAAAGAAAAAACTCAGAAAAACTCATTTCACTGAGGGCCTGATACCTCAGTGAAATGCTCATGAGCCCAGGGGTCTGCAGCATGTTGGGAAATCTCTTGATAAAGGACTTGTACCTCTTATCACTAAGAAGGCTGTACCTTGCATCTCTTATCATTAAAAGATCCAGTACTAGTAGACCCATTCAGATTTAGAAGGCAGCATATGTTACTTATTTAGCAGGATTATTTGGAAAACTGCCAGTTTATAATTTGGCACAGCACAAAATTGCCCTCTGTCATATGTGCAGGCTGCAGCACAAGCCACCCTATCATTTAGACCAAATGACCCAGCAGTTCCAATAGTGCTAGAAGTAACAATCGTTGTGAAGAAGGATGCTCCAGGAGGAGAGTCTTGGTGCAGACCTCGAGGGCTCTGGAGCTTCCAGTGTGTTGCAGAACCTTGATATAGACTGAGTGGCTGATCATGGAATAAAAAATGAGGATGGGACCATAGTTACCCATCATGAATTGAGTGTCTGTGTACCTCAGACATCATAATGTCAAATGGGCACAGCAGCAAACCATTGTAGTATGAAAGCTGTACATTAAAAACTGGACCTCAGCACATGAAATACATGGGGCTCAGAATTCCAAATCACTTACACCTGATGTACCAATAATTCTCCTTCAATCTATACCTCTGACTTTATAGGGCTTCCTTATGATCAGTTAATAAGGAGGAAAGAATAACTTTGTCCTGTTTCACAGATGGGTTGGCAAGTTATATAGGTGCTATCTAGAAATAAATTGCTTTGTCATTACAGCACCACTTAGAAGTGGCCCTCAAAGAATGTGTTGGCAAGAACTTCTCATAGTGGGCAGAAAAATCAGCAGCTCGCCTGGTTGTCCTCTTTGTCTAGAGAAAAGGTGAATTGAGTTACAGGCATTCAGAGACTCCTGGCCAGTGGTTGGTTCATGGACTTGTCCAGCAGATGATCAGAGGTCTGGGAGGAATAATTCTAAAATAATAAGGACATTGGGAGGAGGGTCTTTGAGGATGGGCATAAGGTGAGTAAACCTTTGTTTCTCATGCTCACTAGAAAGCATCACCTCAGCAGGGACTGTAAGTACCAAGGTGAACAAGTGGCTTTGTTCTGAAGCTATCATACAGCACTGCTCTTAGTACCTAGTACGTCTCTAGTGGGCCTGTAACCTGAGTGGTCATGAGGCAGAAATGGAGTGTAAAAATGAGCTCAACAATACAGCCTTCCTCTTAATGAAGGCTAATCTAGCTGGCACTGTGGAATGCACAATTTGCCAGCAGGAATGACTAATACTTAGTCCTGGATTGGTACCATTTTTTGGAGAGAACAGCCAGTCCACGTAGAATCTCTTCTCTCTTGGAGGGGCAATTCATCCTTACCAGAAGCAGTAATAGATAGAAGAATGTGAATTTGTAAATACTGGACGATTTTTGTCCTATATTAATGATGATTTAATGTGTCTTGACCAAAAACACTATCCTGGATGTGGGTATGGCAGACAAAAAAATGCTCCTCTCTTCGCCAAACGTGTATACATCCAATCCCCAAAACCTGTGAATATGTTAGGTCATGTGGCAAAGGAGAATTAAGGTTGTAGATGGAATTAAACTTACTAATCAGCCGACCTTAAGATGAGAAGAGTTGGCCAAGCATGGTGGCTTAGCCTGTAATCCCAGCACGCTGGGAGGCTGTAATGGGTGGATCACCTGAGGTCAGGAGTTTGAAACCAGCCTGGTCAACATGGTGAAACTCCATCTCACTAAATATATGAAAATTAGCCAGGCATGGTGTTGTGTGCCTGTAATCCCAGCTACTTGGCTGGGATTCACTGGATTCACTCCTGAGGCAGGAAAATTACTGAAACCTGGGAGGTGAAGGTTGCAGTGAGCCGAGATGGTGCCACTGCTCTCCAGCCTGGGTGACAGAGCAAGAGTTTGTATCAAAGAAAAAAAAAAAAGAGAGAGAGAGAGAAGGGTATCCTGGACTTTTCGGGTGGCTCAATAGATAATTATTAGGATCCTTAAAATTGGAAGACAGAATCAGAAGAGAGATGCCAATGTGAGGACTCAGCTCAGCCCTGATAGCTTTGAAAATGAAGGGGACCATGAGTCAAAGAATGTAGAAAGCCTCTACAAGCCAGAAACAGCAAAGAAACAGATTCTTCCTGTGGAGAAATGCAGAAAGGAATGTACTCATTCTGTTGACTTGATCCTAGACCAGTGACATCCATGTTGGACTTCTGATCTATAGAACTGTGAGATAATTAATTTGTGTTGTTTTAAGCCAGTAGATTATGGTAATTTGTCATAGCTTCAACAGGAAACAAATATAGTGAGTTTGTTTTTCCTGCCTGCAGTGCAAATGCCAGCCTTATATTTTAAGCCTTTGTAGAAAGCCATATCCATTGACATGGTATCCCACACAACATTGCCTTGGGCCAAGGGATCCATTTTTTGGCAAATGAGGTGCCCCACTGGGCTCATTCATATAAAATTGATGTGTGTTCCTCATAACTTGTATATAGACAGCTTGATAAGATGTGGAATAGGCTCAGTTAAGCATCAGCTCAGAGGCAGTCTTTAAGAGGTTAGTGCCATATATGTGCTACACCTGCAACCTGAACGTGGAATTGTGTCCCTGATAGCAAGAATATTTGAGGTGAAGAAAAAAGAGAGGTAAGTAGGATTTGTTCATTCTCACTGCACTTCCATTCTCCCACATGCCTCTTATCCTAGAAAAGTTAGGAGCTGAAATCTCTACATACTGCTTGGCTACTTTAGGATTTCCCTGCCAGTAGATCATCAGGCAAAAAGGAGTTGCTCTATAGACCGGGCTAATTGATCCCAAGTACTATCAGGAACTAGGGTTTCTACTACACAATGGGGGTAGATGTGGGGATTCACTGGCTCTTCCCTTGGTGCTTCTGTGCCCTCTGATATTTGTTAACAGGCAATTGTAGCAATAACAGCCTGACGAAGACAAGGTGACTAAGACCTCAGATCCTTCCAAAATGAAGGTCTGGATCACGTTATGAGACAAGAACTGCAGATCAACTGGAATTCTGGCCAAGGGCAAAGAAAATCTAGAATGGTTAAGGGAAGGGAGAGGTGATGAATGTCAATAGGGCTATTGGATCAGCAAAAGCAGCTAGAGGTATACCTTGGGTTGCTAACCCTCTATACATTGTTTTAGAAGTTGGCAACTGGCACAGTCTTGGAAGATTCCATTTTTTATCTCCCCTCCAGGGAAGAAGTAAGGGCACCTTGCTCACTTATAAGATTCATATGTTATTAGAGAGTGTAAGCGGAATGGAGTGGCACTCGATGAATTTTAGCAGACTCAGTTTATGCGTCATTTCACGTCAGCCTGCCTCCCTTTCCTACCCACTCCAACCTCCGCTGTTTGCTTTGCTTTCTATCTGGATTGGTCCAAAGAGCAACTGCTCACACCACCACGCTGGGCTGCAGCCTCAGTCATCCCATCTCCTAATACCTCCAGTCGTTTGTATCTTCCCCGGGAATTTAGGGCTGAGCTTTCGGGCAACCTTCATCTCATGCACTACAATTCTGTAGAGAAGCTACAGTAGCTCGGTGCTTAGGTTCTCCTTGCAAGCATGCCTGGAGACTCTAATTTCTCTGTTGGTTGTCCAGGGTGGGGAAATGAACTATAGCAGAAGTGTGGGAAAAATAAATCCCCAAGAGTTGAACTTTGACCAATGAGAGATAGAAGACAGGATCAGGTCATCTGCTTACTCTTCCTCTTTCATAGATTTTTTTTTTTTTTTTTTTTTTTTTTAGCAGTGCTTTCCTTCCACCTTGTGAAACTGAGGCATTGTCCAGACTTCCTCAAGAAGCTGTGGCCAGTTCAGTAACAGATCATCTTATTTATGCTTTTCCTCCTTTCTTGCCTCACTTTTCTTTTTCCTTCATTCTTCATCTCAATACAATTTTAATGCTGATGCTTTGCCTTAAACTCTGATTTTTTAGAAAACCAGGGCTAAGATATTTTGCTTGAGTCATGCTGAAAACTTGAACTGCAGGAGCCAATGAAGGCGGTAAAGAGAGGTAGGTACATTTGTGAGAAAATTAAGGGAGATGAATTTTTCATATTTGCTATTGTGTGGGATTGGAATTGGAGAACTGAATGAGGGTGAGAGAGGCTATTATGAAAACTTTGAAGTTTATAGCATTGAAAACTGCTGAAATGATGCGTTAACTGGGATTTCAAATATTAGGTGTTTGGAGAGAAGGTAATGAGCTGAATTTTGAATATATTCTTCTTGAAGTAGCTTTGGGACATCCAGGTGTTGAAATCTAGGTGCAAGTTGAAAATGTGTGCTTGCAGCTAAGGTGGCAGCTTTAGTAAATGAAGGGTTGAGGTCAGCTTGCTACAGTGTAAATTTTTTATACACATAGATTTTTTACAACCACATTTCTGGCAGACATGTAGGTGTGTTTCAGCAGTGAATGTAACACCTTTTGGAAAATAAATCATCCAATAGCATTTATTTGAATGTCCTTTGCCCTAAAACATTTTAACGCTCCTGTCATTTATTTCTTCCAAATCATCTATCATTTATCCTTTCCTGGCTAAGGCCACATTTATCCACAGGGCTGGCTATGATGTGCTATCAGAGGCACAAATACACTGCTCTGTCTCCAGAAGTATCTCTTCTACTGCCTTGCTTAAGCTTGATTTTCACAATTAGTGATTCTACGGTTGAAAGATATAATTTATCAAAACTGGGTAGATGATTAGTGGGTTTAGAGAGACTGAGAGTAAGCTTCTTTCTGAGTGAAGATTTTGATGGCAAGGAAACATGGATGTATATGTGCTTGTGTCTCTGTGTGTGTGTATTTGGGGGATGCAGGGTGCTATCTGTGATATATAAGGGAATAATAGTGTTCTATTTAGAGGTAACAGTTCAGGCTGTTGGGTCAGTGACCTGGGTTCAAATCCAGCTGTGTGTTACCTGGCTCTAATGCCTTGGAAAAATAACTTCACTGAGATTCAATTTCATTGCATCCATAAAATTGGGCATAATTATAGTGACCGTCTATAGGGCTGTTTTTGAACTAAATGAGAAAATGGATGAAGGGCACTTAGTTTACAGCAAGCTCTCACAAATTATTAATAATTTTAATGGTGTGGATTATAATGCTAAAGATAAACATGACCATCTATATAGTATTGTCCAAAAAAGACGTTTTTGATGAGGTATAATAATTTATAAATAAGTTCAGATTCAGGATCCAATTTTTTCTCTTAATTCATTTACTTTATAATATAAATATACAAATCGATTTCAAGCAGCTCCTTCTGCACCCCCTTGGAAGACTCAACTACCTACCTCACTTACCGGTTCACTGGGAAAATAGCTTGTCAGCATCACGGTGCTTACCCATTTACTGGAAAGGTGCACTGTCTGCTTTATCTCAAGAGTACATCTTAAATTGCCCACCTTTCTCCTCTCCATGGCTTTCACAACGGCAGTGGCCTCCTATTGGGACTCCTACTTCCATTTTTCTTCTCTACAATCTTTCACCTCTTGGCCCAGAGAACATATTTAGAACCCTCAATGGATTCTTGGGGTTTTTCTGAGGAATTCTGTCTTGCTTTTATTATTATTTTTAGTTGACACAGAACAATTGTACATACTTATGGGGTACAGGGTAGTATTTTGATACATGTATACAATGTGTAATGATCAAATTAGGATAATTAGCATATCCATCCAAACATTTATTATTTCTTTTTGTTGGGAACATTCAAAATCCAATTTTCTAGTTATTTGTAAATATATAGTAAATTGTTAATTATAGTCACCCTACAGTGCTGTAAAACTCTGTAGGGTGACAATAATAGAACTTAATCCTGCTTAGCTGCAATTTTGCATCTGTTAATCAATTTTTCTTATCCCCTCTCCCCACTACCCTTCCCAGCCTGTAGTAGCCACTATTCTACTCTTTACTTTTATGAGATCAACTGTTATAATCTACATGAATGAGAATGTGTGGTATGTGTCTTTCTGTCCCTGGTTTATTTAACTTAATGTCCTCCAAGCTAATTCCTGTTGCTTCAAATGACAGGATTTTGTCCTTTATGGCTGAATAGTGTTCCACTGTGTCTATATATTCCACATACTCTTTATCTGTTTGTTCATTGATGAACACTGATTGATTCCATATCTTGGCTATTGTGAACAGTACTGCAATCAACATGGTAGTAGAGATATGTCATTGACATGCTAATGTACTGTTTTTTGTGGGGGGGATTCATCCCCAATAGTGAGATTGCTGGATCATATATTAGTTCTATTTTCAGTTTTTTGGAAAACCTTTATACTATTTTCCATAATAGATGAGCTAATTTACATTCCCATCAACAGAGTGTAAGAGTTCCCTTTTCTCCACATTCTTACAAGCATTTGTTATTTTTTTTTCTTTTTAATTATAGCCATTCTAAAGGGGATGGGATAACATCTCATTGTAGTTTTGATTTGCATTTCCCTGATAGTTCATAATGTAGAACATTTTTTCATAGGCTTCTCGGCCATTTGTATGACTTTTTATGAGAGGTGTCTGTTCAGCTTATTTGCCCATGGTCAAAATGGTGAAACCCCGTCTCTACTAAAAATACAAAAAATTAGCTGGGCATGGTGACACGTGCCTGTAATCCCGGCTACTCAGGAGGCTGGGGCAGGAGAATTGCCTGAACCCAGGAGGCGGAGGTTGCGGTGAGCCGAGATTGAGCCATTGCACTCCAGCCTGGGTAACAAGAGTGAAACTCCGACTCAAAAAAAATAAAAAAAATTAAAAAATTTTAAAAAATAAAATGATGATGACTATTTATTTTTTTGCTGTTGAGTTGTTTGTTTCTTGTATATTCTGGATGTTAACCCCTGTTGGATGAATAGTTTGCAGATGTTTTCTCCCATTTGGTGAGTTGTCTCTTCACGTTCTTGATTATTTCCTTTTTAGTTTGATATAATCTCATTTGTCTATTTTTGTTTTTGTTTTCTGTGTTTTTCAGTTCTTCATAAAAGCTTTGCTCTGACCAGTGACCTGAAGTATTTCCCTTATGTTTTCTTCTAGTAGTTTCATAGTTTTGGGTTTTAGATTTGTCTTCAATCTCTTTTTATTTGATTTCTTATATATGATGAGAGATAGGAGTCAGAGTCCTGTTTCCTTCTTCTGTATATGATATCCAACTTTAATGAATTCCTGTTTTGGTTAGAGTAAAATCCAAACCCCAAACCATGGACTCCATTTACTCACATAAGTAGATTTCTTGCCTGGTCTCCCATCTCATTTTATATCATTCACGGGCCTTTCTTCCATTCCTTAAAACATCAAACCCTTTTTGTTTCTTTCTTGATTATCTTCTTTCTTGGGCTTTTTCACTAATCTCATCAGGATGAAATGCTGTCTCCCAGCTCATGATATGTCCGGATCATTCACGAATGATTTTCCTACTGCAATTTATTAACACAGTACCCCTTTCATTTTCTTCAAAGATCTGGTATCACATTTGTAACTACCTTTTTATTATTGCATTTGTATATGCTTTTCTTTTCTAGTAGAATGTCACAAGATCAGACCCTTTATGTCTATCTTGTTTATCTTTATATCTTCAGTGTTAAAAGAGCCTAGCACAGAGCAGACAATAAATGATTGTTGAGTGAATGAAAGAATGAACACAGGAAGAATTATTGCCCATCCACAGCTCCATAGTTAGCAGAGTCAGAGAATGTGGCAAGAAGACCCCTCACATGATGATAATTTACAAGGTGTCCATGGACCTATGGTAATGGAAAATAAGTATATACAAAGGTTTTAAAAGTTGAGAAAGCAGTGTGTAATAATAGCAAATACATTGAGTTCTGTTTGTTTGTTTACCAGGAATTATTCTAAGAAATTTAGCTACATTAACTCATCTAATTATCACTACAACCCTAAAAAGTAGAAACTGTTATTAACATTCTTGTTTTATAGATGAGGAAATAGTCACAAAGGAGTTCAGTAAGTTTTGCTCAAGATTACATGGTTAGGAAATGTCAAGGCAGGTAAGTCCAAGCAGGTTGGTTTCAGAGCCCATGAATGCATGACCACCCTACTCTAGGGTACCCTAGTAGGTTCACCAATGGGGTCTTTGATACCAGATGATGAAAGAGAAGGCCATATCTTATAAATGTTAGTATCCACTTAGCCCTTAATCCATTGCCTAGCCTGGGATTGTTGTGTATCAAATTGAATGAGATGTTGAGGGGTCTGAGAATGTCAGCAGGATAGGTGAGGAAAGAAAGGTTCTAAGCTAAACATTAAAATTAATAATTTATTTGGGAGAATATTCTACAGATTGGTTGGAAAAAATGATAAAGATTAAATTAAAATGTGGAACACGGCAATAAATACAAATAGTTTTGTGGAATCTAAAAAAGCGAAAAGCAGGGTAAGAATGAATGTGTTTCAGGAGAGTGGCATTCAAAGAAAGAATGTAACCTGACAAGGGTACAAAAATATGTGATTACATTGGCAAACATGATCCTTTGGTGGAGAGGAATGACTCACCAGGCTTCATAGCTTGACAAAAATATCATCTTTTGAGGCCATGCAATTTCTAGTTCTCTGATTTCATATTTACCAAACAACCTTCAAATTTAAATTCAATTTTCCAATGTTTCCTGACCTGGATAAGAAAGCACTCAGAAACAAAAAATAAAACACAAGCTGTCTGTTTTAAGGTATAGATTTTCATAGGAAATTATTAAATTTGCTCTCTATGACCAATTTGAGCAACGTTGCTTGAGTACGTAATCTATGCAAGCAATTCTTCTAGGCTGTGGGGGTGGTAGAGAAATGAGGGAGACATCATCCCTATTCTCAGTTTGCTTACAAAGTTGTAAGGTGAGGCTGAATTTGTTTTAGTATAAATGTGGGCCTTATGATCATCTGGAGGAGTTGACCATTACATTTCTTGACCTGTAGCAGTAGAAGGTCAAATCCTGGGCCCATATAGCTTTGGAGTAATGTGTCTCTACCAGAAATGCCTGCATTTCCAGAAG